GGTGCCCCCGAGCAAGTCTGCACACCCAGAGGGTGGCCTGAGGCCTCCCGTGTAGCAGGAGAGGGGAATAGGGCATGGAAGAGCCCAAGCACCATCTGAGGTGTTACCGCACAGTCTTTACCCACTCAGGGTTCAGGTGGGCGCTTCTGCAAACCCCGCAATAATGGGTATTTGATTGTTAGAACAAGAGATTGTAGATCAGATGTGGTTAAAGCATCCATCATTACTTAGACTTTCTGAAGGCTTCCTGCTTTCCTTCTCGTTCTATCTCAGGAGGCTTTATTTGGCTCACAGATTGGCTATGCACATAGCATTTGCTGATTAGCATAATCTTATTAAAATAATCTGCATCTTAGATGGAATAAATGAGCACGAGTCTCAGCTGGTTTTCAAGTATGTTTAAAAGTACTTTGTCCTTGTTCTAGGTTTGTTTGGAAGACATTGCCAGGGCTGAAAGTCATGGCTATCCAGACAGACTGCTGCCCAAGGTCTTGTTGCGGAAAGCTGAATGTCTGCTGTGTTTGGGGAGGTTACAGGATGCAGCAGATGCCCTCAGTGTGGTGGAGAATAAAATTGCTATGGATGGGATCATGACTAGTTCTACGCACCAGACACTGCTAAAAAAGTTAAGTCAACTAAAGATTAAAATACGTGAAAAAGAGAGCTGTCCAGAGCCTGCACGAGAAGCGTGTGATGACATTATAAGCAAGTCGGAGATCTGGGAAGAGAATGACAGTATTTCAGGTGCGTCGTCATCTTTGAGCTTGAATTTTGATACAGAGAGAGGACGTCACTTGGTGGCCTCACAGGACATCCTGCCAGGACAGAGCCTGTTGAAAGAGGAGGCCTTTGTAAGCGTGCTCTGCCCAGGGGAGAGCCACCTTCTGCAGGACAGCAGTGAAACAGCATGGGATACTCGAATCACTAATGCAGATCTTTATTGCCACCGTTGTCTGAGGCAGCTCTTAGCCTCAGTGCCTTGCCGTGGGTGCAGTTACGCAAAGTACTGCAGCCAGAACTGTGCAGACGTGGCATGGGAGCAGTACCACAGGACAGAGTGCTCCCTGGGAGCACTGCTTCTCACGTTAGGGGTCTTCTGCCATGTTGCCTTGAGGACGGTTCTACTGGCGGGATTTGCAGAGGTTAGCAGGCTGGTGGAATGGTCCCACGATGGTGACAAGGACCTTAACCCTGAGACAAGATGCAAACATCTCAGCGAGGCACCGGTTCCAGGAGCTGCTACCAGAGCTATCCCTGGTTGTAATGACAATGGTCAGTACCAGAGTTCTTACCAAGCTGTGTTCAACCTTTTGCCACATGCTGAGAGGCACAGCCCAGAACATAAGTTCCTTTGCATGCTGAGTGTAGTAGCTATATGCAAACAGCTGCAAGAAGCTGGCCTAGAGGCTGTTGTTTTGAATCAGGAAACATCTGAGAAGTGGTCCAAACCAAGGATACGTGAAAAAACATCGAGTGAATTGTCTCCAGAGCTGAAGACTATGGCAGAAGCGATGCTGAGGCATGTGTTGCAGCTGCAATGTAATGCACAAGCGATCACTGTAATGCAGGAGTCGGGTAAGATAAAAACTTCTAAGCCCTTCTCTGTTGTTCTTGCTCATCTAGCTTGTGTGAAGAGATGGAAATACCATCTGTGAAAAGCTCCCATTGCAGATGGGAATGACTTGCTTAAAATTTAATGGCCTGTCCCATGCTGGCCTGTTCTTTGGTGCACCTGTAGAGGGTATTTAGCTATTATTTATTGCAGCAATACACCAGAAACCTTTCTACTGCTATCTGCAATTGGTCACAGTGCTCGCTGCATAAGTTGTGTGGGTTAATGAGGATTCATTCTCAACCTACTTTATTTTCCTTCATTTTTAGGGTCTGGAGATAGTGCTGTTGTAAATAAGCAGCCTGTGCGCCTGGCAACAGCCTTCTTTCCTGTCCTCAGCCTTCTGAACCATTCATGCTGTCCCAATACCAGCGTGTCATTTAGTGGGACAGCTGCCACTGTCAGGGCATCACAGCCAATCCCAAGCGGCCAAGAGATTTTCCATTGCTATGGTAAGTATTAACTCTGTTTGTCTCAAGGCACCAACATCCTTTCACCTCTACTTGGCATACTAACGGATTGCTACTAGTATTGTAATTCCCAGTACAATGTTGCTAGAGCAAGATTTTATCTCCTGAGCCCACTGTTACCTTTTCAGTCTCCAGTTATGTCTTCTTCAAAAGGTGATATGTCTAGTCTCAATTATAACAAAGATAGGTTTAGCCTGATGTTAAGAACTGTATATGTTTAGAGATTTCTACCCTTTCCATCCCTTTGCAGGGCCTCATCGATGTAGAATGAGGGTTGCTGAGAGACAACAGCTTCTCAGTCAGTATTTCTTTGAGTGTCGCTGTCAGGCATGCCTTGATGAATTAGAGTCTGATGTCAAGAGTGTGGTGTCTGTGAGAAACTCATTCTGCTGCCCTAGCTGCCGGGCTCCAGTGCAGGTAGTTCTTCTGTAGTGATGATTGTATAACTTACCGGGATGTGTAATGTTTGGGTCTCTGGGAAAGTCAAGAGTTAAAGACCTCAGTCCATGATCTCTGCTTAGAAGGCAAAAGCCCCTGTAGAGTCAAGACAGTATCTCACTGTTCTTAGCAGCTTTCTTGTAATGTTCTTGTATGTCAGTCTTCCAGCATTATAGGGAAAATAATGCCTTCAACAGCAAGTTAAAATCTCTTTGAACTTGATGAAGGCACATTAGAATATCAGGGCCATGGACTATGGGGAGGAGGGTATTTTGGAAAGAAAATGGAGGCTTGGAGTCTAGAACAGAAGGTGTACATACAGCGGCTGTATGTAGAGAGAGTCTCACTCTCTGCAGTTCACAGGATGTACATGAAAACAGCACGTAGTGTGGGTTAGATGGGGGGAAGTCAATGTTGTGTGTATTTTGTATGAACACTAGTTGTGTACCACATGACGCTGCTTTGGCCTGATCTATAGCTCACATAGCCCTAGCTATACCTGGAAGTTTCTCATACAATCGAATAAGCTACTAGCAATTTACAAGCAAGTCACTTTGTTTAATGAATGCAACTGAGAAACAATTTAGCATATCTGTAACACAATACAGAGGTAATGGAGATGGACAGTATAGGAATGATCACAGGGGTGATTTCCACAGGGGGAAGACACGCTTTGTTGTTCAAATGAAGCTTGTGCAATCTCAGTCAGCAGAGAGAGCCTGTCACACCGTTTATGGGACCTTCAGCAACAAATCAAGAAAGCATTAGAACTGCTAAGAGACAGGAAGGCTGGTAAGGCTCAGCTTTCTACTTTAAGGTCAGCAGCTAATGAGTACTCATCGGGAGACGTAGTTCTAGCCATGAGATGGCACTGTTGCTTATGCAGTTAGGGTCTTCTGGCATGCAGCCTGGTGTCCCTGGGGACTTGAGCTTTAGGTTTTTTATACCCCTGATCCGGGTGTTAATCTAAGTCACACGTTGTTCCATAGTAACTAAAAGAACTCAGGGTAACATTGGAGTTATGCATTCCCAGGCCTTGCTTTCCTGGAGCGAGTCTGGCCAATACTGCATTAGAATAAGACTTCACTGCAGGTGAAGTGAATGCTGAATCCTAACCAAATCTAGCTGTGTAAGATGCAAAGATGAGATTGGACTGATTTCATTTCATGGATCATGAAAAGCTGGAGGCTGGCCTGTAGGATGAATTTTATACCCTCTTTTGTTATAGATCAGGCTATCAAAATGCTTCTGAAGTGCAAGATGGATGCTGGAAACTTCTTGTCTCCAGAGCATTTGCTGATGGGAGAGATGGAGGATCATCTGGCACAGGTCTATGCTACTCTTGGTATGGCATTGTCTTCTCATTATCTCTAGTTTTCTGCGCTTTGAATTTAACATGAGTAACCTTTTCTCTGACTAGCGTGTTCACCTTTCTCCTACTGCATTTCTCTAGTTTTGACAGCAGGGCTCTCAGGAAGACTGCTTTAGCCAAGACTGCATTCCCAGCAGCCAGTGAACAATAATGTGATCTCATGTTCTTCTAGATTCCCTGTCCAGCTTCTGAGGTCAGCAGCCTCCCAAGAATGCTGTGGACATAGTTCATCACATTTTGCATAATGCTGTCAGATTCTTCAGGTGGCAGTAGCTCTAGAAAGTATTTATTCATGACTCATTTTTTTGTTTTATTTTGTTTTTCCATCAGGGAGGTGGCAGGAAGCAGCCAGACACCTGGAGAGGAGTATTGAGATTGTGGAAATACATCATGGGCCATCAAGTGTAGAAATAGGTCATGAACTTTTCAAGCTGGCACAAATTCTCTTCAATGGGTAAATTTGCTTTCATTCTATTCCCTTACATGCACCACTCCCGTATGTCTGACACAATATCATGGCAGGTGGGCCTTGGCACCTTGCAGGGTGTCTCGCAGGACCTTGGGCAGTCTGGCACAGGTACAAAAGTTGGCCATTACTCAAGTGCAAGTTCATTAACCCCATTAGGGTTCACTTACACCTCATGACTCTCTTTGGACCCATTTCTCTGCTTTGTGCCTGTCTATTCTTTTCTTCTCCCTGGCTCCATTTATTCCCTGTCTTACTGTTTTCTTTTGACAACTAGTCACCCTTGGTGTTTATACCTCAGTTGTATAGAGTTGCTGACTTCTTTTAAAAGGATGAAAAAAAATCCTCTTGCTCTATTTTGGCCCTCTTTTGGCAAGCAAATCCCCTGACTGCTTCTGCAAATCTACTCACACCACCTCCCTTTAACTGAATTAATTTTAGTGGGAGCTGGAGTGAGGAAGTAGTGGGTGCCTATACTCAAAGGTAATGTTTTAAGTTTTTGTCAATCTTGCTACCTTTTCTCCCACCCCATCTTCCCTTTGCAGCTGAAGTGCACACTATTTGCCTGGTGCTGAAAGGCAGTGGAGGGTAGGATCTGTACCCTTGAACAGGTTTAGGTTTTTGTTGGGGAGGTGTTAAAGGTGGTTGTGTAAGTTAAGGAGATGAATTAAATATTTTGTGTATTCTGTTCTTAATCTCATCCTATTTCAGATTTGCAGTTTCTGAAGCTCTGAGCACAATTCAAAGAGCAGAAGAGATTTTGTCAGTGCACTGTGGTCCTCAGAGTACTCAGATCCAGGAACTACAGGAGATGAAGACCTGTCTGTCAGAGCTTCCCAGAAGCATCCTTCAGAGGACTTAATTTCCCTGTCAAAGGAAGCTGCAATGTGATCTTTCATCAAAGCTAAGTTTCATGTGGTAAGGTAGTCATGTAGTACAAGCTGGAAAATCATGTGTAACAACAACTGGAACGAAATCTAAAATGCTCTTTAGTGAGACTGTTGTAAATAAAATGACCAATTCTAACATGAGGGGTCTGTGTGTGGTGTGGTGGTAATAGATGCTGTTGTATAACTTCTGCATGTGGGTTTAAAGCAAATGTTTGAGATGCTTGTGTATGCCTGTTTCTAGAGATGTGACTCTCCCATGTGTGGTACCCTGATGGTTATGAACATGCAATCATCCAGACCACACTGCCTTTTAATTCCAGTGCTGTGAAGCACTTTTCTTGCCAACATGAAACGTAAATGGTTGGAATGGGTGAGGCAGCAGGCTAGGAAGTGCAAATTTACAAGCTATAAGAGGGGACACTGCAGAACTTGGAGGGCTACCAGCACAGATCCGTCAGTGATGAGGGATTCAGTATAAACAACCGGTGTCAGGTTGGAAGACAGGAGAGGGAAAAACACAGTACACACCAGATGATGCATATAGGGCACAGAACTGCATTGTGGCTCATCTGAGGAAAATGGGAATGTGAAGGCGTATGACGTAGCCAGGCACTCTTTCAAGAGAGAATACTGGGGCTTGCTGAGATTAATAGCAAAAGCTCTTTTATTGCAGCATGAAGGCATAAGATTTGCAAGTTGTGTCTTTGTGCAGCAGAGCAGGGAGCCAGTATTCCTCCCAATACCACCCTTTCCATTTGGGCCCTACCATGGCAGAATATTTTGAAGGGATCTACACGCTCCTGGGATCCAGGATCTTGCCAATGAAGAGAAGGGTTCCAGTGGTATCATCTCGCAGTACAAGAAGGAAAGGTCTGTCCACGTGGTATTCTATGGGAAAGGTCAGACGAGCAGCATTCACCCCAGGATTTGGTGTGGACCTTTCCCCATCTTCACTAAGCTCCAGAATTGCCTTGTGTTGCACATGAGAGAGCTTAATAGGTTTGGCAGAAATCTTGGTAAAATCAGGTGATGTGAAAAGTGATTGGAGCCCTGGAGGAAAGAAAGAAAATTCCATTAGCTGAAATCATAGATTGCAGGTGGGGGAGCAGTACTGCTAATGCTGTAATCCAGGAGGGCACATAGCTGCTCTGGTAGAGTTTACTGGGGGTAACGGGGAGAAGCAGCTTACATCTGTTTGTACTGAGCTTCTCCCTCTCAGTCTCAGAAGCATTGTATAAGCTTGGTGGAAAGATGTGATAAAAAGTTGAGGAGTCCTGGACCAAGGTGATATAGCTACTGGTGAAATTTCTACAGACTGACAGCAGGACCTAACTAATAACCCACCAGCTTCATATTCTTCTGAGTGCAGGAAGCAACTTGCCCACTGCTTTGAGCCCTGGCGGTCTGCAGAGGGTGTGATGTACGTACTTGTCTCCTTTAGTGTGCTGCCAAGTGCCTCTTCATAGTTCAGCTTTAGTTTGGGCAAGCTTAGCACAGCGTGGACTGTCTTCAGTTCCTTGTCTACATCGTGGACAAACTCAGAAGTAAGGCTTTCCTCAATCAGAGTCAGATTCTGGATTACCTTCGTAGGCAGGAAGAACATGGCACTGATTCCCTCTGTCAGTGGCAGCTGGGCAATCTGGAAGACCAGTTATAAATAAGAAAGGGTCACATCAATAATAAACGGTTTCACCTGTCCCATACTAGGTACAGGCCTGAATCTCAACTGCCTGGTCAGCCTTTCTGGTTAACATTTGGTCTTCTCCCCTGTTTGCTTTTACTGGACATGATGCTTCCAGATCCCTCTGGCACTCGGGCTTCATCAAACCAAGCTGCATTCTTTTTGCTATAACATGGCAAGTGCTCTCTCGCCTGTTGAATCCTGTAATGAACTGCAGTATTGCTTTGGGGGATTCTCAGCTGGAACATCTTTGAACTCATGCTACAGTGAAAGATTTGTTGAAAGAGGTAGAGATGGAAAAGTTTTGAGGAGTGTGCCTTGCCCTTCTTGCCCAACTTTAGGTCAGGCAATACAGGCTAGTAGGACCTGTGTATTACTTAAATTCTGGACTGCTTGTCGCATAGCCAGTGTAGAAGTAGAATATTCAACATACTGCCTTTCAAAACAGGGGATTGCAAAACTAGCCTGATGGGAGGAACAAGGCTGTCTTCTGGAATGGGTTAACAGGTAAGTGTAGCTGAGCCTGTTCCTCAGTAGGTTTAGGAGAACTTGTGCAATATTTGGTCTCTGACCTTGCAGTTGAGTTCTGAGTCAAAACCATATCGGAGTATGGCCTTGGGGTCTGACATCATGGACACCTTCACAGTTCTGTCCTCATCTAGATGAAAGTCCTTTAGGGCAGTCTTCTTGATGTCAAACTTGGTTTTCCATGTCCCTATTTTTTAAAAGATAAAAATGGAGGATTTTCTGGAATATGAAACAGGGCTTGCAGAGTAGTCCTGCGCTTTATATATACAGTACTTGTGCTTTAAGAGTTGAGGCATATCTGAATGATGATAGAGATGGAAATAGACTGATTGGAGCTACTGATTTATTGCCACTCTTTGGCCCCTCCTTCTCATCTGAGAATTGGCTAAATGGGAAATAAAAGATCAAGCCAGTGCATGGGTGGAGTAGCTATTGGGAAGTTGATGTCTACTTATGTAATTACAAAACTATTTTAAAGGGTAACAATTGTGTCAATGCATATAAAGTGCTTCTCTCCCCACCCTTTATTTTGCTCCCTGTCTCTAAGCAATAATTCTCCAGAACACTGGCTTACAGCATGTTCTAGAACAGCTCTCTAGTATATCCGTCCATTCCCTCTACAGTGGTAGAAAGGCTCAGTATACTCTTGAAGCTGTGCCTTCCCTACATGGTCATATTCTGTCTCTTGCTGTGGAGTTTTGTGGACTTAAACTTTCTTCTCTGGTCTCTTGCTGTAAACAGGTCAAGATTCAGCTTCCCAAGAGTAATAATTCCTCCCTCGAGGACCATTTCTGTTCAGGTAGCATGCATTTTTTCTTCTTTACTAAATGTTCTCAAACACTTTCTTTCTTCTTACACTCTCTCTTTTTGGCAGTCTGTTTGCTCTGTTGGAAGTGAGTGTTCCCTCGCATCTATTCTAACATATGATTCATATACCCTCTCTGTAACCAAGTACGCAACATTCTTACCCTTGAAGTAAGCAGCCCCAGCAAGGAGAATGCTGACATCTGTGGGCATGTCTTTCATGAACCGCATAATCCTTCCCTTTGTCTGCTGTCGTACCCAGTTGTTGATTTCTTGGAGGTCTAACTGGGTATTGCCACTTAGTGCCCTCAGACGCATCTTGTAGGACTTCTCTAGTTGGCTGAGAAAACCAGGCTTCACCCTCAGTCCTGGGGAACAAAAACATCGGTATTGCAGCTAGCTCCCTTATCAAAACAATCTCAAGGCAGCAGATTGCAATCCAAAGCCCAGCAGCAGTTCTCTCATAAAACATCTGTGGCTGTGTGCATACAGAAACCTGCTTTGAAGAAGAATGACTGAAGGCATATGGAGGAAACGGATCCAAATCCCATAGCCACCCATGCTGGAGTGTGGGATAACTCTCTTCTGAAAAGTAAAGAAAGGAGATAAGAACAGAAAGCTTGGACACAGCTATTCCTACATCAGTCTTTCTTCTTTCTCCAGCTTGCTTTATGAGTACAGCTTACTCAACCTATTGGATACTTGGAACCAGCAGGTTCCAAAAGATAGCTCTTAGCTTTCTCAGCGGATGTTTATGGCATGCCAAAAGCAGACCTTTCAAATAGTTCTGCAAGGAATTAAACAAAGGAATATGGCTGAATGCTATCAGAAATAGAAAATGTGATTTGTGGTTCCTGGAAGTTAGCAACACCTGCCAGAAGATCTAGAGAGAAGGCAAAATTCTCAGTGAGTTTCTTCTAGGTCTTCTGCATGTTAGCTGCTCTGTCACCAGTGTCTTTGTGTGCTTAAGTCTGGTCTTTTATTTACATGCACACAAACTTTCCAGGCTTCTTCTGGAGCAGCAACAGTATTCCATGTGCTGTCTGCATCCTGGCTCAACAGTATGTCAGAGCCAAAGCTGTTAGCATGGTATTACTCAGTGTGTTCTACCTGCTGCTAGTTCTTTAGGTAAAATTTGATAGAGGGGAAGAAGGACTTTTACTTTTCTCTAAGACGATACGGGAGGCACTTTTCATGTTCTTCTCTGGTCCAGTCACACTGGTCAGTAGGTCCTTGTAAGTGTTGTGGACCTCAGCTTTGTTAAGCAGATCATAGAAGAGAGCACGAGAAATCACATCTTCTGTTCGCTCTCCAGCCCCTGCCAACAACAAGGACAACAGTATGAGGGAAGGCCTGTCAAACCAAACAGCACGTGAGGAAAAGGGGCAAGAACTCACCAAGTGAGAGACCAGAAAGTGCAGTAGCCAGGCTGAATGGAGACAGTAGCACATTGGCAGTGGCTGTCCGGCTAGATTGCTGACGGTACAGGTCATAGCCAAAGTTGGAGACTGCAGCTGCCAGCTTGTTTACAGGGGTCTTGTAGAATGGATCTTCTTCTTCGACCTCGCCGGCATTAGCACCATCAGCGGTGGCAGAGTTCTAGCAGGTACAGCGAGCGCTTTGGTTAGACTTGGAGCTTACAGTTGTGATAAACATTTTGAAGGCAAGCAATCTACAGTCCTATGATGTACAGAAACACTGGCTTAATCTTACTGATAGAGAGTGTAGGAATAGTTACTTTACTTGAAAGTGTCCCAGTAAAGCCAAAGGCAGCACTCGGATTGGAATCCACTATTTCTGCCTCACAGTCATCCCCTGATGTAACTACTGTGGTTTTATCTAGGTAAAGCAGGAGTTAGTCTCATTATGTTGCTAAATAAAATCCTCGTAACTTAGGAGGGTAGTGCTTAATCCTTTTGTAAGATTCTCTAAAATTAAATCAGCTGCTCCAAGTGTCTCTCCCTCACTCCCTGCATGTTGTCTCCTACTCACCTGTTCAGTAGCTGAGTTCTGGGATCTGCTTGGGACAATTAGGAGACCCAGGAAAAGGAGAACCACTGGAATCTGCATGCCTGAACCTACAGAGTAAGAACATGACAGAGGTAGTGTGAGCAACCAAGCAAATCCA